CAGGATGCAACAATAAACCTGGAAGCGTCCTCCTTCTCCCTAGATCAGTTGGTGCTGCTCCTGTGATGAGAAAAATGGTTGCTTATTAGGACTCAGAAACTTAACTGCTTAGCCCTGTACCAAATGGTTACTAGCTGTACCCCTGCTACCCTGTGTGGTAGAAAATGCCAGTCTACTGGATGCTGTTTAATTAGGAATAAGGGACCTGTGGTCACAATTGTATTATTAGCTTCAAGGAGCCAGAAAACAATGTTACACTAAAAAAGTACATGTATAACATCACTTCAGCCTCATAGCAAACCCCATGAAGTAGATGTTATCATTTCCCCCATATAATGGAGACTCTGAAAGATTAAATACTTTCTCCCTGCCTACAGGAATAGCAAAAGTAGCCTGCACTTACATTTGGAGCAGAGGATCACTGCAAAGTCCCTTGTCATCACCACTAAGATTTAGAAGCCCATGTTGCCCCAAATCAGAGGGTTCCACTTTTCTGTTCTAAAGCGACCTGCGTTAACAGCATTGTTCCTTAATGGGCAGGAAGCATTTGAGATCATTGGCCAAATCCACCTAATCTTTCAGGAAGACATATTCACCCACACTCATTTGAAAGGGAATGGAGAGGGGGATGGTAGTGGAGGGCACTGGAAACGGCCTGTGCCACCAGAGCACATTCATGACGCTGGTGGCAAATCTAACTGTGAAATAATGACTTTTCACTCCTTCAGCTACCCCTGGGCTTCCCTGATATAGTTTTCAGGAGGCAGAGGCCACTACCTGTCACAAATGACTCCAGTCACATAACTCACTTGTTTAACATCTTGTTCACGAATTTCTTAACCAGGGGTGATTCGGGGTTGAGGCAAACTTTCTGTCCATTCTTGAGAGTGGCTCTGCAGAGAGAAGGGAGAACACAAGTGAGACAGGAGGGCGGGCGAGGGTCAGGGTGGGGGCATCTGGGCGGTGGAGGTGACCAGCATGGTGGCAGCAGCAGAGCTGGTGGCACTTACATGACTTCTGTTCGGTCGCAGTGAGATGCTGGGGACGTCACCTTCACACTCTGGATGTTCTTGGGGTGAATTCCCTTCATGGTCTCCAAGCACTGGCAGCGCAGTTCAGTGACCACGGCCTCCTCTGCGGAGACCATAGGCGCAGCTGCAGGGAGAACAGGCTGGGTTAGCGGGATGCCCCCAATGGGCGCCCACCCTGCCAGCAGTCCCGGATTGTGAGAGGGATGTCTGACTGCCGGTGCAGCAGCGGCGGCGGCGGTGCGGGCCATGGGGCTGAGCTCGGAGGATCGGTGCTGAGGTGCCTGGAGTGTGAGAGTTGTCAGGAGAGCTGGTGGAGCGAGATCTGTGGCTCCCTGAGATCGGCGAACCCCTTTTATCCATGCTCGAGGCGGAAAGCTAGCAGCCCGGGGCCTGGGAAATTCCCGGACTTTGCAGGTCGTTCCCGGTAGCAGGGGGCGGGTAGGAGGGGTGGTTGAGGGAGGAGGACCCGGGGGTGCGGCCCGGCCTGGCCTCCCAGGGACTTGGCTGACTGCGAGGTTCTCTTTCCGCCCAAATCCCCAAAGCGGGAGCGATTCGCTTAGTAAGAGCGTGGTCACTTATTATCGGAGACAGGCACCCATGGGGAACGTTAATCTAATAGCAACATTTCAAAAGAATGTGTGCAGGGGAAACAACTGAATTTTCCCTGTTACGTACGCCTAAATATCTTCTGGCTTGAAGATTTTATTTTCCTTTGCATAAAGGCACTCTTAAAATAGAGCTGTCATCTCAGGTTATACAGAAGATTATACATAAAATTGTTCATCTGGTATTTTACAAGCACAAATAAGTTACACTTTGTGTTATATCAGCGGTGAGGGGATGACCAGTGCCAAAAGTTTAACTCAGCGTTTAATCTAGGACAAAGTGTCCTAATCCTATACAGTTTCCTTTCTCTGTGAAATTCTGGAACTTCCAGAGAGATCGTGCCACCTCTCGTGCTTAGAGGGCGTTGATTAATCCAGGAACTAGGAGCTGGTTATTTTGGAGCTGCTGGGGGGAGGGAAGGTTGCCTTGGGCTCAGGGGTCCACAGTTTCTAGTTTTGTCCAAGCCCACCAAAAAGTCAAAGGGATCACAGCTAGTCTCTCCTTCTGTTTCTACAGTAAAGGCATCTGATAATTCCAGCCATCCATAATTGCTTAAATTCATGTCAATGATCTCTGAGCACCATCCAGTATAGCAAATTTGGGCATTATTCTGAGGCTTTTAAAATAATGGATTTCAATATATATTTTCTCTTTCCATTTACTTAAGATTTGTTTAAAACTTTTGTGGAAGTAGTAATGAGTAATTGCATTACATATAATATAAACTAAAGAAAAAAGGAATACCAACATTACAAAAGAATATCAATAAATAGATATAGGAAATGAGGAAATGTCTTCATGGAAATATTCTTTATCACAGTATGAAAACAACATGATGACCGTTTTGATGCTTCTTGTATAATGAAAACAAAATTTGAGAAGTTGAGAGATGAGTGATAAACCACAGCAAACATATCACATGCTATGAAATATGCTTAAATATTTCAACATTTTGAAATTTGTCAATACACTTTTTATGGTCCATATAGTCTCTTTTCTAAAATGTTCCCTGTGTTTGGGGTGGGGGGTGGGGTGGGGAGGAGATGATTTATGCAATTATTGGGTGAAGTGTCTTTACACATTGCTCAGGCCAAATTGGTTGATCATGTTGCTTAACACTTCTATACTGTTATTGATTCTTTATTGTTTTGCCTATTAAGTATTTAAAGAGGTTTGCTAGAATCTTTAACGATGGTCAAGGTTTCATCTATTGCTCCTTTTAGTTTCTCTCCATTTGCTTCATATATATTTTAAAAAATTTTAAAAATATATTTTTATTGATTTTAGAGGAGAAGGTAGAGGGATTTATAATATAATGTATTTTAAATATATCAACTTAATCCTCTAAGAGGGAGATAGAAACATCAATGATGAGAGAGAACCATCGATCTCCCACAGTGGGCATCTAGTCCTCAACTTGGGCATCGAACCCTGACCTCCTGGTTCACATGTTGACCCTCAACCACTGAGCAATGCCGGCCTACTTAATATATTTTAATAAATGGTATTAGGTTCATAAACTTTTAGAATTATTTGTTTCTTATAAAATTGCCCCCTTTTTATTTTGAATCATCTTTCATCTCTAAGTCTACTTCTTTCTTTGTGTCCTAATATATTAATCAGGCTTTCATTAATATATAAATTAGCCAAAATGTTAATAATTTATTTCAATAATAGATTAACAATTAACAAGTAATTGATACATTAGTAAATCTATACTAGGTTTCTGTCAGTTTTAGCATGATATAACACTCAATTCTTTTAATTTCAAGTTGTCTGGGATCTAATATTTAAAGGGTGCCTTTTTATGCAGCATACATTTTTGTCATGTTTTTGTAGTCTGTATTTAAAAAGTAAAACAAATTTCAGTTTTAATTGGAATGTTTGTTCCATTTAAATTATTTTAATTTTTACCATAGTTGGATTTCAGTCTACTGTCTTGCTATTCTATCTGTCCTGTCTTTTTAAAAATAAACTTTAAATTTGAATAACTTCAGTTTATGAAAAAAATGTATAATTATAATTCATTTATCAAAGGTGGGTGGTTAACAGTGGTACATTGTTATTAACTAAACTCTAGTTTCTTACTAAGATTTCACAACATTTCCATTGATGTCCTTCTCCTATTCTGGGATCCAATCCAGCATACCATATTGGATTTAGTCACCATGTCTCCTTGTCCCCTCGGATCTGTGACAGAGTGTCAGTATTGTCTTGTTTTTCATGACTGACAGTTTCAAAGAATACTTATTAGGGATTTTGTAGAATGGTCCTCAGTTTGGCTTTTTATGATGATTTTCTGATGATCATACTGAGGTTATAGGTTTGGGGAAGAATATCATGGAGATGAAGAACCCCCCTCTTCACATCATGTGGAGGAGTACATAGATTCCCATAACACAACTGATGATAATAATCTCGATCCCATGGCTATCTACAAGTGGTATCTGACAAATTCTTCACTGTAATGTTATTGTTTTTCCTTTTTTTCTAATCTCTTCTTTGGAAACAAATCACAAAGCCTGGCTCCCACACACAAGGGGATTACTAGTAAGTCCCACTTTCACAAGGAAAGACACTACTTACATTATGTACGAGGCTTCTTCACAAAGGTTTGTCCCTTCTCTCTTGCACCACCTGTTGTTTTGCTCCTTTATTTCTTTGTTTCTACACCTTTTATAATATTCAGGTATTTTCTTATATTCCATTATATCTCCTTTTTAGATTTTTATATCCAAAGTTTTGCATTTCCTTTCGAGGGGTTGCCCTAAAAATGCCGATATATCTTGCCACATTACAATTCTCCTAAACTTAATGCTTTTCTCTAACAATTGAAGAAATATACTATAAACCCATTCATCTCCCTATCTGCCCTTTGTGTTATTTTTGTCATGTATTTTACTTTAGAATGTGTTTTACCTCCATAGATCAGAATGGTTATTAATATTGTAAATAACACAAATTGTTTGAGTGTTTAGGAGGAATCTACTTTTTCACCTTTTGCGCCCAGCCTCATTAAAAAGGAAAAATTGCACACTTGTTTGAAAAACCACTTACCAAAAGCATTTAATAGGAGCCCTTGTTAAGATATTTATATACACATTCAGAAGTTTGTAAAGCGCTAATTTTAAATAATGAATTGATCAGTGTGAAAAACAGCTGAATGTATGTAAAACTAGGCTTCTCAAGGTAGGTGGGGAAGGTAGTGTGTCAAATATTCCTTCATAAGTAAGAGAAATGTAAGGGAAAGAACAGGCAAGAGTAGGCTTAAAGTTAGGCATGACCTACAATCCAACTGTACAACACCTTGGGCATCCGGCGGGGAACCAAAGGTCAAGAAGAATAAAACAAAACTTAAACATGTTATATTTTGTAAAACTTTTATTTTTAAGCCATTTGTAAAAAAAATGTAACAGTAGCTTTAACTTCTCTGTTCTAAGACAAAGAGAGACATTGCATAATAACATTAACCAAGGCATTATGCCTTACAATAAGACAAAGAGAGATATTGCATAATAACATTAAACAAGGCATTATGCCTTACAAGCAAGACATAAAATGTCCAAAGGAATCTTCAACATCAAAATGTTGACTGTGTAACAAAATAGTTTCAATAAATAACAAGTGACATTATTTTAAACAAGTACAAAAACAGATGTGCACACACTTTCTCTGACCCCAATATTGATCTACCTCATTGTCAAATTGCTTAGATTCCCCCCTCCCATACACCCCCCCTTCACTTAATGGTCTCCCAATAAATATTAGTTTCATGAGACACTTAAAACCCCTCATCTTCAAATTAAATAACAATCAGAACTGAGTTACGTTTGATTAAACACATTCACATGTTTCACACCTTTAAATACATTAAAATGTTAAAATACAAGCTTTGAAAATAAATACATATATAAATAAATAGATCTCTGGTTTAAAAAACAACAAGCACAGTAATCCCTTTCTAGTTGTTGATGAAACCCAGCTGTTCCCATCTTCATTTCAGTCCTGTAAGAGCAGGGACCTCCTTTCAGGAACTGCCACCATGAGCTTCTCTCTCAGTTGGTGCTGCCCCTAAGGTGAGAAAAGGGTTATTGTTACAGGTGTTACAGAAAGCAGCTCTTCTCTCCCAGGGCCCCTGGGAGTGAGTCACTGTCAGGAATGGCTGCATGCAGACCCTGGCCAAACCCTGCACCCAGAAGGCCCCACTGTGTCTTCTACCCTGCACAGCAGACAGCTTGCTCCTTTATTGAGGAAGTGGGACTGTGGACTCAACTTTATTATGTCATTCTGGGCTAAAAATGTACATGCATGACTCCACTTAATCCTCATACAGTACATTTTCCCCGAGGCTCAAAGGGATTAAAAAACTTTCCCAGAGATTTTAGACTTGACCTTAGGGTGGTCTTGCTGTCAAGTCCCTGCTCTTCACCATTTAACTGCCCAGGCCTATATTGTTTCAAACCAGGGATCCCACTTTTCAGTGTGAAAAACAGCCGAATTTTATGTAAAACTAGGTTTCTCAAGGTGGGTGTGGAGGGTAGAGTGTCAACTATTTCTTCATGAGTTAGAGAAACGGAGGGGAAGAAACAGGCAGGAGTAGGCTTAAAGTTAGGCCTGATCGCCCTGGGCCTCCAGCAGGGACCCAAAGGATCAAGAAGAATAAAGCAAAATTTAACCATGTTATGGTCCTTAATGGGTAAGAGGCCGTTTAGCATCATTGGCTGAATCTATTTAGCCTTATAGGACTACACATTCACCCATACGCATTTGAATGGGGTGGGGGAGAAGGGGATAGGGATGGGCGCACTGGAAATGTCCTGTGACACCAGAGCACATTCATGACGCTGGTGGCAAATCTAACTGGGTAAATAATGACTTTTCACTCCTTCAGCTATACCCTGGGCTTCCCTGATATAGTTTTCAGGAGGCAGAGGCCCCTACCTGTCACAAATGACTCTAGTCACATAACTCACTTGTTTAACATCTTTTCCAATATTTTCTTAACCAGGGGTGATTCGGGGTTGAGGCAAACTTTCTGTCCATTCTTGAGAGTGGCTCTGCAGACAGAAGGGTCTCCTCTGCGGAGATCATAGGCGCAGCTGCAGGGAGAACAGACTCGGTTAGCGGGATGCCCCCAATGGGCGCCCATCCTTCATCCCCTTTTTCCCCCTTGGGCTCCAGGGGCTCGAGTCTCACCTGCAGCTTGCCGGCAGGCGGCGACCAGGAGCAGGAGCAGGAGCGCGGCCCGGAGGAACCGGGGAGCGCGGGGTGCAGCAGCGGCGGTGGCGGTGCGGGCCATGGGGCTGAACTCGGAGGATCGGTGCTGCGGTGCCTGGAGTGTGAGAGTTGTCAGGAGAGCTGGTGGAGCGAGATCTGTGGCTCCCTGAGATCGGCGAACCCCTTTTATCCATGCTCGAGGCGGAAAGCTTGCAACCCAGGGCCTGGGAAATTCCGGGGTTCGCACGGAGGTCTCTGGAAGGCGCGGCCCCGCCCAGGAGGTGCGGGTTTGCCTGACGCCCGGAGGTGACTCGGGACTCTGTGAGGTTCTCTTTCCGCCCAGATCCCCAACGCGGGGGTGAGTCACTGTCAGGCAGGAGCTGCTGCCTGCGAGGGGTGAGAGGGGTGACGGTGGGCGCCCAGTGACCCCAGTGACTCCAGTGACCCCAGGGCGCTGGGCGAGAGCGTCAGACCTTTAGACCCACGTAGAGGCTGAGCCCCTTCTTTAGGGAGACAATGACTGCTCTCAAAGGAACTTCAGTGGCTGAGATTGAAGAGAAGAGGGGTAGGGCAGCCTCTCTGACCTATCTATCCTCTTTTTCTTTTTCTTTAATGCAAAATGTTATTTTATGTTTATTAAAATATTTGACCGATGCCCACATGGTCTAATGATTCTCTGAAAAGGAAACATTTCGAAGTTTGTTTTCTTACACGAATTTTTAACTATATACCTCTGCGTTGTAAATATAACTGTTAAGCAATGAGTTGCACATATTTTGAGTGAATGCTATTCTGAATGTGGACATACATATGCACCCATTACACCGTCAATCACCGCAATCAAAATAATGAATATATCCATCATTCTTGAAAGTGTCCTATTAGCCCTTTACAATCTTCTCCCACTTCCTGCCCAATTGCCTTATGTTGAGGCAATAACTGATCTTTTTATCATTATATATCATTTTGCATCATTTAGAGCTCTTCATAGATGATTAATGAAATTTACATTTCTGTCTGAGTTTCTTCACTCAGCATAATTATGTTTTCTTTAAATACTTTTAACATTTTCAATTGCAGTTTACAGTCAATATTGTTGTATTAGCTTCAGATATACAGCACAGTGGTCAGAAAATTGTGTAGTTTACAGAGTGTCTTCCCCACCCCGTTTCAAGTACCCATCTGGCTCCATACATAGTTATTGAGTATTATTGACTATATTCCCTATGCTGTAACTTATACCTCTGTAACTATTCTGTCACTACCAATTTGTACTTCTTAATCCCTTAACCTTTTTCACCGAGCCCTCTAATCCCCGCCCTTCTGACAAGTGTCAGTCTGTTCTCTATGAGTCTATTTCTATTTTGTTCATTCGTTTAGGTTGTTCTTTAGTTTCCACATATAAATAAATAAAATCATATGGTATTTGTCAGTCTCTGACTTAGCATAATACCCTCTAGATCCACTCATACTGTCATAAAAGGTAAGATTTAATTATTTTTTATGGCCAAGTAGTATTTCATTTTATATGTGTGCCACCACACCTTTTGTATCCACTGGCACTTGGGTGGCTTCCAGATCTTGGCTATTGTATGTAACGCTGCAGTGAACATAGAGGTGCATATATTCTTTCGAATTCGTGTTTCAGGTTTCTTCAGATATATTCTCAGAAGCAATTTGCTTGGTCATCAGGCAATTCCATTTTTCATATTTTTTGAAGAACCCCCACACTATTTTTTTATAGTCGTTATACCAATATGCATTCCCACCAACGATGAATTTGGGTTTTCAATTTTTACTCATCTCTGGAAGAAATGTGCTCTTTAAAAATACATCTGTCGTCGCAGATTGAACATAAGAATGTTTGTTTTATTCCTGGTGTCTTTGAGCTCAAATAAAATCACACTTAGTGTCACGTTTTTCTTCGTGGCACAGGGGAGTAGAATGAGGGGGGAAAATCATTGAAGAGGTTAATTCGGAGTTTATTTGGGGATAACAATGTTGTAATCCCTCATCTTCCCCCTCTTTGAAATTCTTGGACTTTCCCAAATCTCCTAATCCAGAGAGGAAGGAAGAGAGGGACATCATCAATTTGTTGTCTCACTTATTTATGCATTCATTGGTTAATTCCTGCATTTGCATATGTAAGGGCACATGTAAGGAACAAGTTCTATGAGTCACGTTGTAAGTAATTCTGTAGATAATGATTTTTGGCATGCCTCATCCTCTTGGCTACTACTGTAGATAAATTGAAATTGTGCCCTGACTAGAGATCAAACCTGAAACCTTGGTACAGTATATTGGGATGACACGCTAACCAACTGAGCTACCCAGTCAGGCCACCTATCAACGTACTAATTTATATTTCTAAGAATGACAATAAAGCATTTCAAAATCTGAGTATGTGAAGCCATCTCATTGGATACAGTTGGCCCTCCATATTGTTGATTCTACATCCTCGATTCAACAAACCTCAGATAGAAAAAATATATATTTTTAATGCTGCTGTCTTTGTTGACATGTACTGTATAGCTACCATGGTTGTGTCTGTACTGACATGTCAGGAATTTTTCTTGTTATTCCCTAAATAATACAGTATAACAACTATTTACACAGTGTTTACATTGTATTAGGTATTATATGTAGTCTAGAGATGATATAAAGAATATGGGATGATATACTAGTACACAGGTTATATGCAAATACTAGGTCATTTTATAAAAGGTACTTGAGCAGCGTGGGAAGGGCCTGTCCTTGAACCAGTCCTCCACAAATATGGAGGGATGACTGTGATTCACTTTTCACCATCAATATCTCCTTTTGGATTACATTGTAGATGGTTTAAGTTGCTTCTCCAGGGAGGATGCAGGCCTCTGGGATGGGCGACATATTCTGCCAGTGCCGTGAGAGGGCTGCATGTGCAGCAAGTCATCTGCCTTGGCAGCAGAGAGTTGGGTAAAGCTGCCAGGCTAATCCCAGCTACACATGTACATGCCATCTAACTATCTGACCATGGACAATTTATTTAACTTTCGCTGTGTTCTTGTTTTCCTTCTGTAAAAGAGAGCCAACACTAGTGCTAACATTTGTAAAACATTAGCAAATATTAGTGCTGTATAATAGTTGTTAAGTAAACACAATAGATGTAGTGTTTTTCAACTTTACTGTTCTGGACTAAATATTTATGTCTTCCAAAAATTCGTTTGTTGAAGCCCTACACCGTGATAGTATTAGGTGATGGAGATTTGGGGAGGTAACTCGGTTTATATTAAGTCATAAGGACAGCGTTTTTAAGGAGAGACAACCAGAGAGCTTCTCTCTCTCTCTCTCTCTCTCTCTGACAAAGCAAGAAGACAACTACCTGCAAACTAGGAAGGTTCTTACCAGCTGCTAAGTCTGCAGGCATTTTGATCTTGGACTTCCAGCCTCCAGAACTGTGAGAAATTAATGTTTGTTTTCACCCAGCATATAGTGTTTTGCTATAGCAGCCTGAACTGATTAAGACACTTACCTAAACAGAAGCACTCTATGGTGAATCATTATGCAAACAGAAAAAAATAAAATCAAATAAACATCTTTTTTTAAAAAAATATATTTTATTGAATTTTTACAGAGAGGAAGAGAGAGGGATAGAGAGTTAGAAACATCGATCAGCTGCCTCCTGCACACTCCCTACTGGGGATATGCCCGCAACCAAGGTACATGCCCCCGACCAGAATCGAACCTGGGACCCTTGAGTCCGCAGGCCGATGCTCTATCCACTGAGCCAAACTGGTTAGGGCCAAATAAACATCTTTTCATTTATTTTTAAAATTTTTCAGCATTAAGGCTTTTCTAAAAGCAATGGACCTGTATTCTTTGGGAATCTTAGAGTAGACTTTTAAAATTCAAGGCTTGTTTAAAATTTTAGTTTCAATCATTTCCCATATAAAATAAAAAGAAAATACCCACCAATCTACTTCTGGGAAAATATTTGCTGCAGGCATTAACAGCTGGCTGCCTAGACAATAGAAAGTATTATCTGTAATTATTACCAGACCCAACCCAAAGTATTGATGTAAACAAATACTCAGAAAGAGTACAATTTGAATTTATCTACAGTAGCAGGCAAGAGGATGAGGCATGCTGAAAATCATTGCATACAGAATTACTTACAATGCGACTCATAGAACTTGTTTAATCAAAATCATTTGCTTTCAGAAAGGAAGTAAATTTTTTTTCTCCTTTCATGATATCTCATTTCCATGATTTAATTTACGACAACCCCATACTAAGGAAATTTTAAGATGCCATGAAGCCTACTCTGATAAACAAATTATTAATTTTTTTAAATATGTGCTGAATGCCACTTTTGTATGCAGAAGCTGTAACTTCATGCAATCACTAACCCAACAAAGTTACTTCTAAAATAGGAGCTCAAGTTATTAAATTTCATTCTACCCTATAATTTTTATTGTACCTTTCAGATGTGACTACCACAATGTCATATGCCCTCAAAACCTAGGGTCACTGTTGCATGTTGAGCCAGCAAGAATGTTGCACATTGAGCCAGCAAGGCTCAGTGGTTGAGCATCAACCTATGAACCAGGAGGTCAAGGTTTGATTCACAGTCAGGGCATATGCCCGGGTTGCAGGCTCAGTCCCCCGTGTGGGGCATATAGGAGGCAGCTGATCAATTATTCTCTCTCATCATTGATGTCTCTATTTCTCTCTCCCTCTCCCTTTCTCTCTGAAAGCAATAAAACTATATTAAAAAAATGAATAGGTATATATGGCTCTGCTTTATCTTGACTTGCCTTGAGAACTTTGTTGACCTAAATACCACCTCTCCCTCCCATTTCTAACAGCA